AAAGCCCACCCTTTCTCTTTTTTTTTTGGGGGGGGGGGGGTGGCGGCGGCTGGGCTCAAAGTGGAGGGAGTGGGAGATAGACCCATGTGTCCACTGAGTCTAGAGGCTGAAAACTGCAACTTGATCATGTCACAGGACCTGATCTCCCTCTTTATGTTTTTCTACTTTTAAAGTGTGTCTGGACTGAGTAGCCCTCCAAATAGAGGACATCTTCAAAAAGAGGACCTTGGAACTTCTTACTTCCTCCCTTGCCTACAGAAAAGAAAGGTAGCTGCAGGAGAACAGTATTCGTGTATGCTGGAGGAGAAATGAAGTCAGACAGATGGATGCATATATACATTTATTTATGGAAAGGAGAGGAAAACAATTTTCTACAGTCTTCCTCCCCCAACCTTCCCCCACAGAGCCTGAAGCAGAGAAGTGAGGGAGCTACATGAATCTGAAGATTTAAGGGCTGTAGAGATGTCAGGGAGGTTACAGGTGGCTGTTTATTGACTTCCCAAGGTTTCTCTCAAATGCCTCCCAGAAAGTACAGTGCACCTTTCCTCCTCAGAATTTACATGAATATTATCTTTTCCTGCTATAGCTGGGATTATAGACAGATGTACTTCAGGGACATAGCTTCAGTGAGCCTTCATCTCTGTTGAAAGCCTCCTCTAGCTCCGGCATCATTATTTTAGTCAAAGAGTATACATGAAGCAATTATAAGGCTATGTCTGTTTGCCCCACCTTTCCAGAGAAACATTTACCTCTAGCTGGAGGCTGTTCCCATTTGGGGGAAGCAAAACATCTTCCTCAGCTCCTTCTTTATCTGGGGCTAACAAATAAAAGAGAAATTACAGAGCAATTAGTACCATAGAACTGAAGCTGAAGGCCAGGCCATGGAGCTTCATTCAGCCTAGGAAGTTCAAGATTACATTTTGTGTCAAAAGTTCCTAAACACAAGAGAAGGTCATTGTCTATATTTTGCATTACCATTGTGAAATGGTTGTTGTCACAAAGCTGTGTAGCATGTGTGACAAAGCTTTGGGTAACAGGGATGGCATGGATCAAGTAGATATTACCATGCCCATGTCAGTTAGAGCCTCATGGTGGATGGTGGTGGAGGAGGACAACACCCACATGAGACCAAGTAGATTTTGTCTCCAAATCTCAAATGGAATCAACAATCCTATTTAGCTGTTCCTTTTTAAAAAGTATGGTAAGTTTCAAGGCATGAGCAGCAAGAGAGCTCTTTCCCTGAGGAAAGCTTCTGCCATAGGTGCAGTCTCTTCATATAACTCGGGATCTTGAAAAAAAAAAATCAGCATTCCTGATTACCTGGAGAGTCTTTACCTGTAGCAAACTGTCTCTTCTTCTAGCTGTCCCTCTTCATCTGGAGACTTCAGTAGGCAGGGATAGAATTCTCTCCCTGATCATACTTCCAAATTTGACCCCTTTCTGAGCACCCAGATAGGACTCATATCTGGCCCTGGGCTAACAAGCAGTTCAATTTATTTATTTATTTATTTATATTTTGTTTTATTTTATTTTATTTGACTTCTTCCCTGCCCATCTAGACCAAAGGTCTACTCTGGGCGGCATTACAAATTTTAAAACAGTTAAAACAATGAACATGCACTATAAATCCAAGTTGGCAAAATGTCAATTTAGGATATAGCAGGAGGGAAAGCCTGCCCATTTGGTCAGGCCCTGACTTTGCTTCTAAAGACACCCAGAGAGGGTGCCAGGCGCATCTCCATAGGCAAGTTGTTCCAGAGGCGAGAGGCCGCTGCCGAGAAGGCCCGGTTCACTATCCTTATAGACACATTTGCTGAGGATATGAGAAAGTGTTTTCTTGGTTGCAGCCATCAGCTTGTGGAACTCTCTGCCCTGGGAGGCTAGGTTCGGCCTCTTCTTGTTGGCCTCTACCAGCAGGCTTTCTATCCAGGGTTGCCCTTGACAACTGACTGACTGTGAAGGAATTGGCACTTTATTGGGCATGTGTGTGTGCATTTTACTTTTCCTCCCTCCCTCCCTTTAAGTTGTTTCAAGTTTGGTTGATGTTTTTAAATAGGTCAATCCACTGAACAAATTCTAATACTATAACTGACAGTGCTTTTAGCTTTTCTCTTTTTCTTAAACATATTGTGAACTGTCCTAGGTCTGCACATTGGGGGAAAGGTGGGATATAAAATAAATAATACACGATCCTTCTGCATTTTAGCCTTTGCTGATTCTTGTGACTCCTAATGCAGAAACAGACCAAAGCCTCCTTTTTTTGCAAGAGAAGGCACCATCTGAACCGCATTGCTGAGCACCCCATTATTTTCAAATTTTAAATGATGTACATTACTATATGAGATAGGAGTGCTCAGTCTACCAAGATCTGGTGAGTCCTAAGATAAAATCCTTTAATCATGCTACATGCACAAACTGTATTTTACCAATAGAATTTGGGTAATGTTCTGAATATATTTTAATCTCTACTGGTCATTTATTGAAATAATTGACTAGTACTTTATCTCTCCATCATTTTCTTGTGTTAACAGTTGATTCCTCCCCCCCTAGTTTGACACAGAGAGAAGGTGTGGGTGAGCACACACATTTACAAATCCAAAATAAACACAACTTTTGTCCTTTGTATTTTCAGATCCAACACAGTTTATTTACTTCTTCCCTTCTTTAGGGTTAGTTCCAGACATAGTTACTTCTTAGAGTAATTAGAAACACCTAACTTAGACACCATTGATTTCACTGGGACTAAAGCATGACTTTGAGTGCACTGAATAATATATTTTTTTCTCCTGAGTTTTCATATGCATAAACAATAACTGACCCACTGTTTCCCCCATACATCTGTTTAAAAATATCAGTATCATTTTTATTTCTTGTTTAGCCATCCACACCAGAACAGCTGCATAGTACATACCTTGAGTTTGCCAAAGTACATACCTTGAGTACTCTCTTCAACAATTTGTTGTGTGGTTGCAGGCTTCTCTGGAGGATAGTACCCAGCTTTGCATGGGGTAGCAAGGAAGCAAATCTCTGGCACTGTATACATCATCAAGAAAACCCATCCATTCGCCACCAGAGCAGCACCAATAAGTGGGTCATCCCACTTGCTTTGGACACTGTCAGATGTACCACTCACAAGTAACACACTGATCCATGCTACCCAGATGGCAATGGAGAAGAAAAGAGTGACAAAGATGTATGTCCCGTGCTTCTTCCAGCCTTTGTATGGTCCGCAGAAAGTAAGTGTAGAAATCAGAAAGGCAAAGACCATGAGGACAATCACGTAGGTCAGAAGGATGACAAAGTCTTTGTTGCGTTGTTCCCGTCCCATTCTAGCAAGATCTATGCCATCTCGTCCTACAGTGAGGACAATGTATTGGATAGCTATGATGACCTGAACAAACGTGAGACCCAAAGCATGGAGCAGTATTGAGAGCTGTGAATAGGGAACCTTTCCTCTCACCAGCCTGATGAGATTGAAGGCATGCATCAGAAGGCAAGAAAAGCAGAGGGCAAATAGGACCCCGGGCAAGAGAAAACGAGTGGGGGCAGTGATTTTATTAAGCCTGATGATGAAGGCAAAGGGGAGGCTGAGGATTCCCAGGGTGCCCAGAATGAAGAGGAACTGAAGAGCAGCCATGTTTTTCTTGTTCTTATCTTCGACCCTCCAAGCAAAAATGAAGCATGTCAGCAGAACTGCCAGGCAAGCCACGATGCCTGCAGCAGCCACAGTCTCTAAACTGATGCCCCAGGCTTCGCAGACATCACAGAGGAAATAATAGTTGGGGTCAATGTTGCCACAGCCAGGAGGAGGTGCTAGGGTGCTGTTAGCCATCATAAATGGGGCAGTTGCCTTACTGGTGAAAGCAAATCTGGGGAAAGAAGAAAAAAATGGTCATACAAGCCTACGTCCAAACACTTATTCAATGACCAAAAACTTTGCATGCAGTTAATGACACTGATGTGTAATGCTGTTGTTAGGTAGATAAATTAATCTTAATTTTACTCGTAAACTGAAATTAGCAATGACACGAACTGACTTTCACAGTCAAACTAGGCTTTCTTGTTTTCCCCACAAGGAAGAACATAGCCAGCATTTTCAGACTTTCACTTTCACTTGATTATAGTGAAGTCTCTGAGGCAGAGAGAGGGATCTCTTGTTCCTCACACAATTGGGGCTGGTTATTTCTGGGCTAAAAGCATTTATGCCACATGAAGAAGAAATGCTGCTGCTGCTGCTGCTGCTGCTGCCGCTACTACTACTACTGCTACTACTACTACCACTACCACTACCACTACCACTACCACTACCACTACCAATAATAATAATAGGGCAGTATTTGGACTGGCAAATGAGAACCGGTCTACTGTATATTACTAAAAGTTCCACAGTGCAAGGATACATGGCTTGAGAAGCCATTACATGACCTCAATGATAATGTTAAGTCGTCATGCTGAAACTGAGGAATGCATATGTTCAACCCAAGACTAAATTATTTGCACGAGAGACTATTAGAAAATAATTATGAAGTAATGTGTGAGCTACATATGTTGGGCCTGTCACAAATCTCAAGGAACAGTATCCTAGCTGGATTCCCTAAGCTATCACCAGTGGGATTGCACATGGAGGCATGACCGAATTGCAAAGAATATTTTTCAGCAGCTGGCTAAATTTTAAGGATCATTCACATCTTTTGCTCCATATTATAAATTTTAGCCATCTCCAGTTTTAGAAAACAAAACCACAACACTACATTGGAACTAGCAAGTTACCAGGACAAAAGAGATAATTTTAATAAGTTGGATTTAGAATTTTTGATAAGCAACAAGGAAAAACATACCTTCTAAAGGTTGGACTTCTATCAACAACCTACCTCAAAAGTACAGAAAGCACCAAAATTACAAAGTACTAAACGTTATGACAAGGCATGAAAATAGCATGGAAACAAGATCAGGTTATCCTCCTTCCTATGCTAATTTCAGCTACTAGAGTTCTATCAAAATCTTTGGTTACTAATCTAAAGCGATTGCCAATAGCTATTAATTGGCTTCCTGAAATTAAAAAATCAGTGATTTTCTACTAATCTAAAGCAATTGCCAATAATTGGCTTCCTGAAATTAAAAAATCTGTGATTTTGAAAACTTGTCATCTCGCCCTCAGATTTTTAGGACTCAACTTCTAATTTTCAGGCTTGACCCTTTGGTCTGCAGTGCTGAGAAATATGAAGTGCAACGTAGTAATAATAAGGACAACATTGGACTAGGCATTACGAAAGCTGTGTTCTAGTCTCTGCTTGGCCATAAAATATACTAGGTGACCAATTATTCTCTCAACTTGGTCTACTTCTCAAGGTTGCAGTAAAGGGAAAGTGTGAGGAAGAGCCATGCATGTTGCTTTCAGCTCGTTTGAGGAAAGCTAGACATAAATGTAATTACAATGCATATATACATTCATAAGTACATCCATGGAACACCAGCACAACAGTACATTCGTTGATTCAGGGGAGCTAAATCAGTATGACAACATAAGGAGATCCACCTTTATAGCACTTGCCCCTGGCTATGACAGCTTAATCATTGTGGATTCCTGGCAGCACCATCATTGGAACAGAAGGATTGGAACGTATGTCTGATAGTGTTCTGCTTCAATCAAGATGATCTGAATTCAGCTTCCTCCTTAGCCTTGAATATCAATTTGTTTTCCAAGGCATGCCAATGTCTCATATTTGGACCTACCCTACAATGTTGTTGTCTATCAAACATGGGATTATCTTGCCCCAAATTCCTTGAAGGAAAGATGGGATATAAAAGTCCCAAATATAAAATGAATCAGAGACCCTTCTCCTCTTCTAGAGAAGGAGGAGTTTCAGTTTGTAGAATGAAGGCAGACAAGAAAAGGTGCATTATAGTTTTGTGAAACAAGCTGTTTTCATTTTAAGATATAGTTGCTTCTTCTCTTCATTATCCATAAAAACCCTTTCCCCCATAACACATATTTTTGAAACTGAGCAAAATCTGTCCATGGGTGAAATTCTAACCTCAAGGAAAAGACAGGCAACCACCACCCATAAATTTTCTGCTTACAGTACACCCAAAATATGAACATCCTGGAAAGATGAGGAGTAGAAAAAAAGAAGCTCTAACCCTGCTAGAACATTTTTATTTAGAAAGCTCCTAGAAGAAGCGTGGCTCAGCTTCTTTTCCTTACCTTTGCTGTGATCTGATTGTAAAGTGAGGCTTGGAGCATGGAGGAGAAAAACTTCAGCAGTGCTTACTCTTGTCTGTTCTGACAAAAATCACAACTCCAAGCCTACCTCAGCAGCACTTTGAAGGACAAAAATCTATGAACACTAATATTATTATTACCATTCGTTGTCCTGTCTTGAGGAGCTAAGGACCAAAAACACACTCCCAGGGCAGCTAAGACATCAACGAAGACACACCTATTCTGGTTCCTCCACCACTACCACCACCAAGCTGGTCACTTGGAGAAACAAAGTGTTGTATGAGGTATTCAGTTCTTACAGTTTTTCTAGCACACCACCCAGCCTTTCCATTTTTCATATTTTAAAGAATGACTTGCTTGCAACAGATACTTTAAAACATAAGCATACACTGGGTGTGATCCTGCTCATCACTGGAGATACGTCTGTGAGCAGAGGATTTCTAGTAGCTCAATACAGTCCTTCTGATATCAATTGCTAATCAAGGTAAAGGAAAGTGATTTGTTTCCTGGATCCTGGCTGCAAGTGTGCCTGAAATGGCTGCAGATAACTGTTTCATCCCAAAATACCTGAAAGCTGATCTGCCATCACTTTCTCGGCTACTTTGGCCAGGAACCACAAATGTAGCACTGCCATTCTCCACAATAAAAGGATCAAGGGATGGCTGTTCTCACAATGTTTTTACAGCTCTGTCCTTGATGACCGATGTCATTTCCTTTCTCTACAGAGCTATCTTGACACTGACATGGAATTTAACAGCTTCCCTGAGCAGGGCTTTGCCTGTCAAGAGGAGCAGTGGTCAAGCACATAAACACAGGGTGAAGTGTATGAAATGCTTTGTTTGTCTCCTCAGATGTCAACAACAGATACTCATCCAAAATGAAGAAGCTGCACACCTGTGGGCGTTTTCCTAGAGTGGGATCAAAGTCAGAATGGATCTGAGCAATTTCACTAGCAAAACTGCAGAGCTTGGAAGTAGCAAGTATTTTGAAAATGATAATTGGTGGGGGAAATGGAAGCCACAGAGACTTCAGCAGCCCCACCTTCCTACCTATATGTCTCTATATTGCTCATGTAAAAAATTACCTGTTTGGAAGCAGTTGGGTGGATACTCTGTCTCCCAGATCTTCATAATGTGTATGTTTATTTTTACATCTAACACAGAAAGGAACAAAGCAGTTATTCTAGGTATGTATCATTGCTAAAAACATTGCTCTTTAGGAATTTCATCACCGTGTTTGGTGTTCTTTGAAATGGCACTGTAATGACCCATTAACCTAATTGTGTGGGGTTTATTGACTATTTCATTACATCCAGGATAAGTAACATTACATCTTGGAGAAGAAATCAATTGTCCATTAAAAGTCATAGATATGTAAATAGTATAATTTAGCTTAATACAGCATAATGGCCAGAATCTTTATGATTATTTAGGGAAGGCATAAGTGCAATGGCATAAACAACAGAGGCTATTTGTTGCCACTAATTAATGAGTTGCCACTTGTATCCTTCATTGTGCACCACTTCATGGAATGGAACACAATGAGGGATGTAAGTGGCGACTCATTAACTAGCAGCAATGTATTGCTATAGTTCTCACCATTGCATCTCTGCCTCATAAGTAACCTAACAGGATTTTCGCTGGTATAAAATACTGTAATGCAGTATTTTTCAGAGAGACAGCTATGTTAACTCTGTTTCAGCAACAGCAGAATCCAAACAAAAACAAAAGTATCATATTTTCCTCAAGACAAACAAATCTATTTCATTGTGAGCTTCCATGGCTTACAATCCACCTCTTCAGATATATGTGCAGTAATACTGTAATATTACATAATATGAGCAATACATTGTAATATGCACGCCTAGGTACACACAGGGTAGCACAAATAGTTATATGTGTTTAGCACACGTTGAACTGTGCTAGAAAGAGAGTGTCTAAGGACAGGGAAACATGAGTTCAACAATAGTAAGACTCATTCAGTGAAATGTATTTTGAGATGAGCAAAAAAGTTATGAATCCTGTATGTGTTTAGCTAGAAAGAGAGTGTAAGGACTGGGAAACATGAGTTCAACAATAGTAAGATTCATTCAGTGAAATGTATTTTATTTTGAGATGAGCAAAAAAGTTATGAATGGGCTGAGAAAAATGGTTTGTCATTGGCATGAAGGCTCTGCAAAGATGGAGTGCCCAGTTGCGCCACATTCCGTCTATTTCTGTCAAGGACGCCATTGTTGCCAATGATCCTGATACAATACATTAAGTTTTTAACAGCTTTATAGTAGGTGTTATACATCTCAGGCTACTTACAGTCCGGTTGGAACTGATGGGTTTTCAGATAGATGTACTTGACATGCTCTTTCTGAAGAGCAAGCAGCTGCACTTGATAATCCTTCTGCAAAAGAGGAATTGCAGTGACTACAGTAACCCCCGAGGCAGTCTTCCAAAGTTACCATAAAAATTGATCAGCCCCGGCACCAAATCTACTCAGCTATCCTTTCTTCCAGTGACTGATGGAGAATGAGAATGAATGGAACATCCAGGCTGGCTGGGTCATCTATTCAGTATTCAGACTGACTGCTCCCCCTGAACAACAGAACGTTCCGAAACACCTTCCTATTCTAACCGAGGGTTGCATAGAAAGACCTCTTAAATATCTTTAATTCAATTTCTCCAAAACCATCCCTTAACCATTAATGATATAGGGCTGTTTAAATTGATTGATGATATGTACAGCAAGCTGAGGAACAAATCCTGTGAATGGACAAAAGACCAAAGGACAACTTCAGAGGTACAGCCAATTGATTTCAGTCCTCATTGTCCTAAATTATCAGAAGAGCTTGCTTAATGACAGTTGTTTATTCTGAGCAGGCTGCCAGGTTTTTAACCCAGCAGGTTAACAAAGGTGGGACAGATCTTATCTTTGCCTACACTACCTGGGCAACACTCATGGTTTGGCCACATATAGAGTGATGATCCTTGGAAAATTTGTTGGCAGTTAAAGGTGAGGAGGTGTTCAACTATTCTAGAAGTGCCTCTCTATTGCATAAGCACAATCTGCACAATTGTCCTAGTAAACATATTTTACAGACTTAAATGCATGGATCCAATATCCCTGCCTCTCCTTTGTTAAGTTATTGTCATCACAATTGTCATCAACAACAACAAGTTGGGAATTAGCATCACTATTACTAAATTAGCATCACTTTGCATGGATCAAACTGACACAGGATATGACCAGATGGGTATTTGTTCCATGCTTTGGTCCAGGTCTGGGATAGACTGGTTCATTCCTTTTCCTGGTAACTGGCCTGTCGCTGACTGATGTCTCCACACACCTTCTGGATCCCTGTCACCGACTGAATGTTGCCGGCCTGTCGCTGACTGATGTCTACACACACCTTCTGGATCCCTGTCACCAACTGAATGTTGGTGATTTTTTGGGGGGTGGGTGGGAGGAGGGATGCAGGTACAGTTGCTCTGTTTTGGTTTGATTCCGGTGTGTGTGATCACTGGGATTCAACCAATGTGGATGGCTTAAGCTGTCCTATTGTTTAAGCTGCTTAACTATCTTGAGAAATGGAAAATGTCCTTCTCAGTCCCCTGCAGAGGAAAGGGAGAGGAATTTTTTATTTCTTTTAAGTTGTGGCTAATGCATCAGCAAAAACTTGAAAATTTTTTTAAAAGCCCTTTCAATGCAAAAAAATACATCACTAATGAACTATGTCAGTTAGCAACAATTTTAAAAACCCAGAAAGCGAAAGCTCTCAATTTCTCAAGATCATTAAGTCACTTAGGCAAAACATAGAGGAGGAAAGAGGAAGGGGATTATTTTGTTTGTCTTTTCTTTCCCTTGAGGCATGCACCTCAAAGTGACCCTGTTTAGCATGACCTAGACTGATCCAGGCCATGATATGCGCGCTGTTTAGTTGTACCCATTGTTAATTTGTTACCAGAACTCGGGCTTCCTTAAGCGCTGAAAACTGCCTCTCTATCAGTCCTAGTGCAGGCTCTTCTCACCGACCATATCTTGCAAATTAGCTTATTTCGATGCGTGGGTGGTCATTGGAAGATAAACACAAGCTTCATCTGCAAGTGCAATTGGCCAGGCACACGGCTCCGAGAAAACATCTCAGAAATATATTGGTGATCAAATGAGCTAAGAGAATTTTAAGAAATAGTAAAGGTGGTTCCAGATTCTCTGGCAAAGTATTTTGTTTTGTTTTTAATCATCATAACCTTAGAGCTGCACAGCTGGAAGTGACCCTACAGTTAGGGAGGCACAGTGGGGAATCAAACTCGCAACCTCTGGCTCTTTAGCTGGATGCCTAAACCACTGAGGTGTCCAGCAGTTCTTGTTCTGTCTTATTTTGTTTTCGTAAGAACGGTGCAAATGTTATGGATGAAAGCAAGGGCTTATTATAGCAACGTAGATCACTAGCTTTTTCACCACAAGCTTCTTATTTTAAACGATGCAGGAAATGACATAGAGCATTGGCTGGCTTAAACTTGGCCATTAATTTCCATTTGCTGCAGGGGTCAACTCAAGAGCCCATTTAGTCAAATCTCCTGTCTTCAGCAGAAGAAAATCGGATGCTTCTAAAATGCCTACAAGCTGGGCAGGAAGGCAATGGTTCTCCCCACTGTTCATTTTCCAGCAGTGTTTACTTAACAGAGTGAATGCAGACCTAAAATGCGCAGCTGGGAGAAAAGTGTGCAGTTTAAAAGTGGATAGATGTGCAGCTGTAATAAATGGGGGAAATTGACACATATTATAGATTGGTGATAACCTACTGGAATGGGAAATAATAACAACACAAGGATATGATAAACCTGGAAGGGCCTCCAAAAGCCTTCAGGGATGAGAGTGGATCATGAAAAAAAATTATGATAGAGTGTGAGCCAAAAAAAAAAAGGTTTTATCTTTGATACATTTGAAAACAAACTAACCCCAGGATGTTTCCAGATGAAGCTTTCAGGGGGCAATTATCCTATCTCACTCTTGGAATGTGGGTGGTTTCCAGACACCATGTTTTTCTTGTTACCCTCCTGTGTTTTCCCATCACTTCCTCTGTTTTCTTTCTGTTAGAAAGGAAAAAGATGGGGTATTTGTGCCTGTTGATTGGTAGTGTTGTTTTTCATAGGTTTTCAGAGCCTATGTAACACAGAAGTGCCATTTAGCTATCATGGTTGATGATACTCATTGATGGACCGATCCTCCAGGAATCTATTTCTCTTCATAGCCATTTAAGTTACTACCTATCACCTTATCACCTGACATTAAATTCCACAAGGTAAATGTGCATTGTTAGAAGAAACACTTTCTGCTATTTGCTTTTAACCTACCAGCAATCGATTTAGACAGCTGGTAACCCCACTTTCTAGTATTACGAGGGATTTTTTCCCCTATCTGCCCAATTTCTCCACACTATGCCTAGTTTCGTAAGAGTTATATCTCCCCCCCTTTTCCTCCCCCCCTTTCGGTCTTTCCTTCTAAACTGAAAAAAGATTCTCTTTCCCTGTTAAGGAAAATGTCTCACCTCATTTGATTCTGTTGGTCATTTTTTCCTGTACCTTTTCCAGCTCTGTAATAGCCTTTTCGTGATAGGTGATCTGAAATGTTTCCTTCTATTTCTTAATTATGCATGGCACAAAATTCACCTTTTTCACTACAATCCAGTGATGTTTTCACTGAGCATCACATTCAGGATCTCTTTCCAGCACAGTCACATATCCTTCAGTTTATGTGTCAAGATGGAATTTAATTTGCTTCTATGTATGTGTGTGTGTGGGCATTTCCCCGATGAACAATGCTTTTTTATATATATAAATTGCATTTCACTTTCAGTTTTGTTGCCCATTTACTGAATTTGAAGTGAGCCTTTTGAACAACTTGATTAGATTTTCACTACCCTGAATAATCTGTGATCAACAAACTTGGCTAAAGACAGTAATTTATGAATAAATTAAGCAACATTGCTCCTAATGTGGAACACTAGTTTTCTTCCATTATTGGATGTGTTTCATGGGCTGCTTCCAGACAAGGCTTTTATTATTCACTCCCTTCTGACTTGTTCATAGAATTTTACAGGAAGTCCAGATGGAATCATCTTCTATTTGAAAACCTACTTTGTTTTCTTACTTCTGCCTTATAACAGAAAATTCACCAAGGAGGGAAACAGCTGCATCCTTTCTTTTGACCATTAGGTGGGCTGTAAGGTCAGCAATTTGCCCTTCCCTGAGAAAGGAGGGTCAAAAACATACCCTTGGAAGAGATCCTTTGTGATGTCATGGTGGTAGACTCCTATGTCTGTGTAAACAAGGTATTAAGAAGTGCTTTTATCATTGTCACCCCCAGTGAATTTCCATAGATGTGTGGGGATTTGAACCCAGGTCTCCTGAGTCCTAGTCTGTCACTCTGTCCACCATGTTACACTGGATATCTTAAATGTAAGATAGAGGTGTTTTTTTTCTTTTTTGCAGAAGCCAGGATGATTGTTCCTCAACAAAGCTTGTTCTTAATTATGTTTGAGTCCTAGTTTTGTTAGGATTCTAACACAGAATTCTCAGGATCCTCACTAAGATTCAATTCTTGGGCTTCTTTGTGGGCAACCATGACCACCAAATGTTTGTAGTACAGATATGTCGAAAGAAAATGGCCAGAGAATCCAGTGCTGAACACACAGATGGAGCTGGAATGTCTTTTACAGGGCACATACTTAAAGGTAGTTATCACATCCATTATCAATTCTCTGTTCCTAAGAGTAAACATACCCAGATGTCACAATCATTCCTCACTGGGATTGGTTTCCAAGCTCTCCTTTTTGTCACGCTTCTGAACACATTTCCATTTATCAATATTTATTCTAAAACTGTGGTAAGCTGAACTGGACAGTACTGTAGTTGAGATTTAACCAGAGCAGAAAAAGAGGTTACCTACCTGTAACTCTGGTTCTTCGAGTGGTCATCTGTGAATTCACACTAATGGGTTAATCCGCGCTTGCGTGGAGCAGCCTCGGAACTTGCTAGCTTGATCTCCCCCACACTGTCTATAACTCTGCCTACGGCACCAAATGCCTCACTTCCATTGAACCGACCACCGCTGCAGAGCATGCAGTGGCACACGTGACGTACAGCGGGGAGGAAGGGCGTGGAGTGTGAATTCACAGATGACCACTTGAAGAACCAGAGTTACAGGTAAGTAACCTCTTTTTCTTTTTCATGGTCTCTGTGAATGCACACTAATGGGTGACTAGGAAGCTCACTTACCAGGAGGAGGGACATCACGAAAGTGCCGAAGCCAGGACAGCTCGACCTACCGCAGCCTCAGCCTTGGCCCAGATATCTAGGCCGTAATGGGAGACGAAGGTAAACGGAGTGGCCCATGTGGCAGTTCAGCAGATGTCGGCAATGGCTACCCCAGGAAGAAAGGCCGCCAAGGACGCTACAGCTCTTGTAGAGTGAGCTCTGACTGGGCCTGGAAGAGGAGTCTCAGCTAAATCATAGGCAAAGTGGATGGTCTGGACAATCCATCTTGAGATGGTCTGAGAGGAAGCTGGTGCTCCCATAGAGGGACCAGCAAAGGCGACAAAGAGTCATTGTGTCGTACGGAAAGTTCCTGTGCTGTGGATATAATATGAGAGAGCTCGCTTGACATCAAGGGAGGTTAGAGCCTTTTCGAGTGGTGAGGTTGGTGAGGGAAAGAAACCAGGAAGGACAATTGGCTGATTCAAGTGGAAAGAAGATGAAACTTTGGGGGGAAAGGTAAGGTCCAGATGCAGAGTCACCCCGTCTGGGTGAAAATGCAGGAATGGAGGGTCTGCCCTCAACACAGCTAGTTCTCCAACCCTCCGGGCTGATATAATTGCCAGGAGGATTGCCGTTTTGAAGGACAACAAGCGGAGTGAAGCAGAAGCCAAGGGTTCAAAGGGAGGCCTCATGTGTCATTGAAGAACTAGTTGGAATGACCACTGTGGCATTAGGGGTTTGTAGGGAGCATATTTTTCAGCCCTCATAGGAACTGCTTCAAGGTAGGATGTCTAAAGAGCATGGCTGCTTGAGAAGATGGAGTCTGGTGGGCTACAAAGTCTGTGGAGACTTTTAAGGTGGAGTGTGAAAGACCTTGTCGAAATAGGTGGAGGAGGAATTGAAGAAGTACATCTAGAGATGTTGGGCTGGAAGGTAAGTGGCTTGTTGATGCAAATCTACAGAACACGTTCCATTTATAGGAGTAAGTCAAAGAGGTTGAGGGCTGCTTCCTTCTTCTTCCTTAGTTTT